TTGTGTGTAGCCATTTTGAAGGAGTCATTACTGTAGAGTATGTTTAATTTAGGAAAGGAAGAGCAAGAAGCATCATAATAAGAGTAGAAACAAGAAGAGACAGAAGGTGGAGGAGAGTGAGAGGTAGGTCTGTGTACATTATGTCACTCAAACCCTGCAATGCTTATACAGTATAGCCTCTCTTAATGGACACTCTCTATAGCGTACACCTCCATTTAACGGATAGCACCTAGTGTACCAATTACATTCCTTAATAACCTACACATAAAGGACACCTCTGTATAACAGAGCAATTTTCTTGTACCAAAGTGTCCATTATATAGAGGCTAGTCTGTATAGAATATGTCACCCATTAGTATTACATCATAATACATGTAATTTGTCACTATCATTTCAGTTCTAGTTCTGAGTCTGAAGAAGAAGAGAAGGCTGAAGGTGATAAAGAAGGAGGTGAACAGCCAATGGTGGGTCCAACTAAAGATGGAATGGTTCCTGAAGAGATAGTCCAGACCAGGCCTTCATGGCTCTACCGGTTTAGTAAGAGCCCCAGCCCCAAAGACCCTGAGACAAAGCGGTTAGTAGTAAGAGCTGCTCTGGGTTTTATTTGAAATAATTCTTTCTCTTAGGCCTAGCCATCAACCTTTCCAGTTGAGAGAACGCCCTGAACAAGTTTGTGTGATATAATGATATACATATATACTTTATAATTATACTTGAACAAACCTGTACATGTACTTGTACATATACATTACATTACATTGCTTTGATGTGTGTGTGCTGTTGTGTGTGTGTAGGTTTCAAGATCAGGTAGGAAACTGAAAGGAAGAGGTATCATGGTAAGTAGCTATATTAATACTAATAGTAATTAATACTAATAATAATAGTGATGATGATGATGATGATGATAGAAGATATTGTTGTTTTTTGTTGAATTCCAATAATGCTTTGACTACATGATCACCTGCTCTTATTTTCTATTACAAGATCTTATATAAGACAAGAGAAATTGTACTATAATTAAATTATTCCTTATATAGAATTATCTATTTTATCATTATTATTTATTATTATTATCTTTTAGAAATATCGTACTCCTTCTCCTCGTCGTGAAGAAAGAAGAGAACGAGAAAGGTCTCGCTCACCACTTTACAGGAGGCGTGGCCGTCGATCCCGCTCTCGATCACATGACCAGAAGACAAGACGGGACAGGAGACGCTCAAGATCAAGGAGCAATGACAGGAGGAGGAGGAGGAGGTCCAGGAGCGGTGGGAGGAGGGAGGGGAGAGGAGACAGATCACGTAACGAGAGACGGGAACAAAGATCAAGATCGACAAGTCAAAGAAGATCAAAGTCTCCAGATCAAAAACCTTCAAACAAGAAAGGGAACCAAGTGGAGGTTCCTGTTTATGATATGAGAGACTCTCGTTCAAGTACTCCACTCCAAGATGAAGAGCCTTTCAGGGTGGGCGTGACTACTGGGAGGGGCAAAGCACATAAAAATGGCGGCAGTAACAGCAATTGGTATGAGAATGTTGAATCAGATCCGAATGAAGAGCTGGAGGAGGAGTATCAGAAAGTAGAGGCTACTCTAGCTAACCAGCAGTTCGGAGTGACCAGTTAACCTCATTATCTCATGGCATGTACTCATTTTGAATATTTTAAATAATTATTTTCCAACAATTTATGAAACTTTATCATTATTTGATTATTATTATTGTTGTTTATGTTCTTTTTGTACAACAATGCATTTAACCAGTACTAACATGATTTAATTATACAGAAATACTGTTAAGTTTTCTTTCAATCAATTCAATAATTATTAATAATCCAAAGTTTTGATTTTTGATAGTTTTGGTGGGAAGTTTGACCGTATATGTTCTAATTAAGAGTCCTTTTCGTTATTTCCAATTTCCTCTCACTCCTCAGCTCAGGTATGCTTCAGGCATAGAGACCGATAGATATATCCTTGTTGCTGTTCTTCGCCGTCCAAAAACAACTGTAGTGAAACACAAGCTCAGTGGAAAGGAGCGGCCACAGACTAACAAAGCAGGTGGGTTACTCTCTTCTATTTTAAAAGTTATCCTGGTATCATTCCGAAGCCTCACCATTATTACATTAATACTCCTCCCGTAGACTACACAGCTGAGGTGGTGTGTGTGTATTTTAGAAGGAGAAAGAATAAGAGAGAAAAGAATTTAATTATATGCTAAAATCTTTTCTAAATACTGTATATATAAAGATGACTACTTGTTCATGTATTTATTTATTTTATTTTATTTTATTTTGTCTTCTCTAGTTCCTTCATGTCGGCTAGCGTTGAGTCAATAGACATTGATTCCCTTCCCCTCCCTTCTACCCTAGACCTACCTGAGGACCTACCCATTGGCCTCCCTCCTATCAATGGAGGAGGAGGAGGAGGAGAGACCTCCCCTAGACCCCATCAGTCAGCCGTTACCTCCCCTAACACTCCCTATTGATGATTATGATACTCAGTATGGTCCCACTACTAGTACAGAGCCTCAGTTAGAGTCCTCGGTTCTTGCTGACGGTGAGTTGCCACGGTTTGATGAGGTGAATGAGCAGTATGAGTTCCTACGAAGAACCCTCTCTCATTCTCGCCGCCGGTACTCTGCTCGTTTTAAGAGACCACGCCCAGTTTCCCGCCCACGTGAGAACGGTGAGTCCTCGTTGGATGCCCCGTGGTTGTCACGGGAACCGGAAGAGAGTCAGTTGGATAAACCTGGTAAGATTCGTCCCCCTCCCTCCTCCTCTTCTCGCTCCGCCCATCAGTCACAGCAACGTAACAAGGTGCAGTCGGCTCGTAGACCCCACCCTCATCATGGAACCAGGGCAGGGCATACCAGCACTCGTTCAGCTGTAAATTCAAGCGGAAGTGAGTGTGCATTAATTAGAAGTGTTGAGTACTACCAGGTGGTAATAGACAGTACACTAGCTGGTATTATGTTACGTTGTACTGTTAGTTTACATCTTCTCTGTATGATGCACATGTACAATATAGTGTTTGTGAGGTGTGTGTGTGTATGTGTGTGTGTGTGTGTTTGTGAGCATGTGAGGTGTGTGTGTGTACATGTACATGCCAGTTTTTATTGTATTTCTATTGGTGTAACATTAGGAATAGCAAACAATAATTATGAATAATTCAAATTCATGTACATGTACATGTGCATCTATCACACCCATGTTGATAATAATAATTTTTTTCTTTTATATTGTTTTATATTGTATTGTAATAATAATAATAATAATAATAATAATAATAATAATAATAATAATAATTATAATAATAATAATAATGATAATAATAATAATAATAATAATAATAATAATGATAATAGTAATACAATTGATGATAATCATTGTTCCTGTGTAGATAATAGACACTAAAGGATCACATGATACAGATACAGCTAGTACATTGTGTGTGTACATATTCAGTTGTTTTCCTTTACATTAGTCTCTGGAGTAAATGCTGGTCTACATGACAGTCTGTACTATTGTTTATATGGGCATAGTCTAATTGGATTAAACTCCATGGAATACATTGAAATGTGTACATGTACTCCATAGCACTCACTAAGTAACTGATATACACCTCCTCTCCATCATTATACTATACTGTATGTACACACACACTGAACTATGGGCTACTGGTAGTATTAGTATGAATGAATGAATGCTGTTAGTGTTGGGAGAGATTGGGTGAGAGAGGAAAGGAGAGGGACATGAGAATAACACATGATCTTGTGTAGAGTGTGTAGCTGTACAAAGTAACTGGAGGAGTATTGTTAGGACATACTGTACTATCACTTGATGCTTTTACATTGTATATTGTACTTATAATGTATTTGAGTAAATCCATGGACATAAATGTACATGTATATCTACAATAAAAGTTTAAGAATTATATATTTATTTATTGTTTTATTTAGTCTTGTACTGAACCTATTATCAATTATCTATCTTCATTCTATACCAACAGGAGGGGAGGCACACGTTGATAACATAGGACGTACCTATTACATGGACCACACCACCCACACTATACACTATGGGGACAGCACCTCCTCTCAGCCGACGAGGGACAGTGAGGAACGAGACGGAGAGGGAGGGGGAGAGAGGGGGGCCCTCGATGCAAGAAGGGAAATGCTGAACCGGCGTTATCAGAGTCTCCATAGGAGCTTTCGTTCCGCTCATCATCACCGAAGAAACCATTCACAGCAGGACTTCGCTAGCAACCTAGCACCTGTGGAGTCTGTAGGTGCCATTTCTTATGTTCCACTGGATAGCTCAGAGACTCAGCAAGATGCTACTGGAGAGAGAGGGAGGAGGAGGGATAAAGGGAAGTCCTCCACCCCTTCAAGAGGTTGGTTTAATTTCGGTCGTAAGTCAACCAACCGGAGCATGACAAGGCAAGCTGAATCAACATCGACAATTTCATCAGATACAGTCAATATTGAGGTCACGTCTCCCCCGGGAGTCATTGATATTTTTGCTCCTCTTTCTCCTCCCCCTCCTTCTCTCTCTGAGCTCGGTATAACCGATAGTGTGGAGCCACACCTACCAGAGCCACGCCCCCTAGAACCCCAGGAGAGTATCAGTAGTTTGACTATTTCTCAACAAGGATCCATAACAGAGTCCAACGGAGCTATCAATAATGAATTAGAGAATACACTCACAGGACAAGAAGGTCTTATTGCTATCGTAGATCAGACACACCCCCAGGTTGAGCCAGAGCCACACCCACCTGTATCAACTGATTTAGATCAGGCAGCAGCCGCTACAGCACTGCAGCAACAGCAGAGGAGACGTGGGTGGAGTAGCCGCACCTCTCACCATAGCGGAGACACTGATGATGAAACTAATGAAGGATTATCCCCTAGGAACAGTGTCGTCATTAGCCCCGCCCCCAGTAGAGAAGACCAACCCACGGGTACTGCTGCAAGAGGAGAGGAGACACAGGGAGAACAACCAGCAAGCACTACTGAATCTACTGAGACTCCACCCACTGCCCCTCCCACTACCACGCCTACTCATAAAGAGTCTCAATCTCACGGAGACAGGAAGAAGACCAGGAAGAAGGGCGGGGTCAAGGTAGCTAGTCCGATAAAGTTTTCTGATGCTCTAAAGAACTCACCAGCTCTTAAATTCATAACTCGTCCCGACCTTTACTCATTCCTTAATTCAGCTGGAGTGAGTTTATATTTACATATTCATGTACTATCCATTATTACCTTGTATTAAGACATTACATTCGTTCATTCATTAATTCATTTATGATTATCGTGTGTCGATCAATAGTACAGCTGGACCTGAGCTGGTTCCTGTTTATTGCAATTATTGGCATCGTCCATTGTCTTGTTCTTTTGTATCTGCCAAAAGTTTTTTTCTTGTATATTTTTGTATATTTCAGTATACTCTGTATTTTAGGAAGCAGGTGAGGTTTTCTTCTCTCAGCGTTCGTTGATGGAACTGGTCCAACGGATAAGAGCTGATAATAAACTATTTGCTAAGTGAGTTTTTAATGACCACACCCAGTTACTGACCCCTCCCACTTTACAAGGTACCAGCACAGCCGGCAGCTGGTCCAGGCTTTGAACAGGTTCGCTGAAACTGATAGAGAGATACCATCAGACTGGGAGAAGAAACTGAACAAGGAAGGAAGAGTAAGACACAGCTTCTCTTTATAGCATAGCCTCTCTTAATGGACACTCTCTATAGCGTACACCAGTTATATATATAGTATCAGGTCACATGACAGTCACATGATCCTCTATCTCCTCCAATAGATATTCTTCATTGATCATAAGCACCAGTTAACTACATTCATTGATCCGCGATTACCTGATGCTGATTCCACTGAGAGAAAGGACTCCACCAGCACTATACCAGTCAGTGCTCCTCCGAGACGAATCTACTCGTCTTCTGATGAAGTAGGTGTTCTAATTATAAGAACTTAATCTTATATTTTTGATTTCTAATTATGAGTATTTTCAAAATTATTTCTTTCCTTTTAAAGCCTGAACTCCGTCAGCACCATTCTACAGTGATGCAGACTCGTTCAGTTCCAACTCTACCAAGAGAAGAGGAGGAGATTGTCACCTCAACCGAAGAACATGAAAGTATGAAATACATTTAATTAATTGTGTGGGTGGATTTACATCCTCCATAGCGTATGAAGATCAGGTGGTTGCTTTCTTTCGTCAACCGAACCTTGAGGATCTGATAGCTCAGAGATACAGACGAACGCTCCGCCCACAATTGAAAGAAGCTTTTGAGGACATCAAGAGGAACGGAGTATCAGCCCTAGAGAGAGTCCAGCTGTCAGGAGGAGGGACTGCCCTTGAGCTAACAATGATACTGAGGTAGAATCTAATGGAGGGGGGTCTGTGTGGTTGAAGTGTATGATCTGGTTCTGTTTTAGTATATTTGAGGAAGATATCAGTGCCCTGAGACCAGCAAGATCACAAGCTCAATCACCAGGTAGTAATAGCACTTGAGCTGAAGTGCATCCAGTTACTTGTACATATTGAACTAATTTAACAATTACTTTTCATTAGCTTACATGTGTTGCTTATTTAATATTATACATTCTTTAATACATCCATGGCTGATAATAATAGTTCTCTCCCCCTCTCTCTCTCTCAGCTGAGGTTAATGATGAATCATCAGGTGCTGGTGCTAAAACTGGTACTATTCAGAGGCAGAAGCAGGCATTTGCTGCTAAACTCCAAACGTTCAAACTCCAGCTGGCCAGGCTAGGCTTTGCCCAAGGCTCCCGCCTAAAGTTCAACCTAAGACGTGAACATCTTCTTGAAGACGCTTACGAACACGTCATGAAGTCAGAGATAAGACATTTGCAAAGAAAGAGGTTGAATATTTCCTTTAGAGGAGAAGATGGGTGAGAGGAAATAATGTACATGTACATGTAATGCCATTTTACTTTTTATGGACATGATTTTAGCATTAAAATTACCCACTATATAGTTTATATGGTAGAATGTAATATTCCATTATCAATTATCATTATTATTAATATCCTTTTTCCTCTTCCTCTGTCTTTAGATTGGATTACGGTGGGCCCTCGCGTGAATTCTTCTTCCTGCTTTCCCGTAACATATTCAATCCTTATTTTGGATTATTTGAATATTCTGCTAATGACACGTATACCATACAGATTAGCCCCACCTCCTCCTTCATTCAGAATAATCTTGACTGGTTCAGATTTGCCGGACGAATTGTTGGACTTGTAATAGCACAAGGTTTTCTACTTGACGTGTTCTTCACTCGACCGACTTACAAATCAATACTTGGAAAGTAAGTGAATTATTGTGTGTATAAGATATGTATTTATGTATAGTGAACTCCCTGTACTATAGCCCATGGTTTTTTCCAAAAAATGGCTCCGAAATCACCCCCAATTTTTATTACATTTTCTGATACATATTTACACCCTTATGCTGTGTAGAAAGTTTGAGCTGATTCCGTCTTTAATTTTTTGAGTTACGGCCATTTTAAAAAATGAGCCAAAATCTGAAATTTTCCCTGTACTATAGCCCATGGTTTTTTCCGAAAAATGGCTCCGAAATCACACCCAATTTTTATTACATTTTCTGATACATGTTTACGCCTTTATGCTGTGTAGAAAGTTTGAGTTGATTCCGACTTAAATTTTTCGAGTTATGGCCATTTTAAAAAATGAGCCAAAATCTGAAATTTTCCCTGTACTATAGCCCATGGTTTTTTCCGAAAAATGGCTCCGAAATCACTCCAAATTTTTATTACATTTTCTGATACATGTTTACGCCTTTATGCTGTGTAGAAAGTTTGAGTTGATTCCGACTTAAATTTTTCAAGTTACGGCCATTTAAAAAAATGAGCCAAAATCAGAAATTTTCCCTGTACTATTATAGCCCATGGTTTTTTCTGAAAAATGGCTCCAAAATCACTCCAAATTTTTATTACATTTTCTGATACATATTTACGTCCTTATGCTGTGTAGAAAGTTTGAGCTGATTCCAACTTTAATTTTTCGAGTTACGGCCATTTTAAAAAATGAGCCAAAATCTGAAAATTTCCCTGTACTATTAGTAACGCGGTAGCGTTACTAAGTAGGATTCACCCCCAAACAAAATGGCTGCCACGACTTTTGCAGCCTTGCTATACCGGGAAAACGAGCTCCTACGCTTACCAGACTTTATAGAGGACCTTATCTTGACCAGAGGACTCCAATGGTACCACTAGCGTGGCTCTAGACCTTGTCTAAGAGGAAATTCAAAAATCGGCGAACCGGCCGTTTTGTTCAGCCACCTTTTTTCATCTTCATCATCATCATCATCATCATCTTCATCTTCATCAAGTCCTGTCAATCCAGTTGTCGGTGTGTATCTTGGTATTGGTTGGTGCTACAAGGATAATTCTTACACCAATCTACTCCAAAAGTCTATGCGCAGGTCCATGTCCCATTAGATCATTCTTCAAGTGAGGAAAAAGTGATACTGTGACTGCTGGATCGAGCCATCTTAGCTGCATGCCGCCATTTTGTTAATTAAAGAAGCTTGCCATGTGCTCCAAAATTTGGGTGTGGTCGCGCATGCTCAGATCTGCAGCTCTCGAAGAAGCAAGTTATTTTACCAAGCTATGCTTGGAATCAACTTACTGCAATACTTTAGTGGAGGTTTCCAGCTAAAAGAAGGTATTGATTTTACATGTTACTGTTTTATCAAGTGTGTTATTTTATTTTATTTAAAAAAAACAAACAATTAATTAATGTTATGACTTATGATA